TCAGAGCCTACATTACCAATTTCTCTACGTTCTGAGGAGGCGTCCAAATTGTCCAAACTGGTTGAAATACCTGGAATGCATGTGGACCTCTGTGTGTCCGGTTCATCTTGACATCTTTGCCAGCTTCAATTTAGAGTCGTACCCTTATATTCAGGAAACAACTCAGCGAAGGTGGTGTCGGTTGTCCTCTCTGTGGAAAGTACGCGACAAGCTGATCACTACTTTTAGGAGGAGTCGTTCCGCCCATCAGCGACGTCTGTGAGCCTGTCATCATCTTATCATTCGCCCATGGATGGATGTGAAATCTTCCTTGCCAGTGAGCAGATGCTTCTGATCCCATTCCATAATGCCGCCTAGTGCATGTGAAATTTCATCTAACAAGCTCAAGATCCTGCTTTCCAGGCAGATAAAATTCACACACGCACAGTCGATTCGATTACCTGTTTTGCAGCGAATCGCTACCCCGTACCCTATTACTCTTGGGCGATGACCGATAAGCCTTGCACAACTTGAAACGGTGTGATCGAGGCCCGAATGGGGGATCACTGCTTCGGAAGAAAGGGTGAATGGTATGCGGCTGCTGTAATAGCGTACTTGTCAGGTCTCACCTGCTTCACCGTTTGTTAGATCACTCTTGGTTGGGTCCGCTGCCGTAGATTCTTTTGACAGTTATCATGCTCAATGTGTACTGGCAATGACCGATGACCTCTCCCATCGACTGGAAAGGAAGTACTCATGCTACCCTCCCTCATCACCCTTACCATCCTCAGCAGCATTGCCATCGTCGCTACCCATAACCACTGTCCGACTTGTCCTTATCTCGTTGCTATCCTCGTGCTCAGTCCCCATGACGACGACCATCACCGTCGTAATCGCATCCACCTCGAGCATCGACAGTGAATGTGAAACGCAGTAATGCATGAGCCATGCATCCGTCAAACCCGATACGGAAGCTGCCCATGGAAGTGGAGATGAAAAGGAGTAGGACGAGATGACTCACCTGCCAATGCACATCCGACAGTTACGCCAACCACGTCAGAAAGAAGTCCAAGGAACATTCCGTCTTGATCAAACGACATGTGAAGATTTCATCGGCCAAACGAGCATCTGTCAGTGACTGTTCTGTAGTAGATTCATCCTCCAAAAAGAGCATATGTCAACGACTGGTCTGAAGATTTCAGCGTCCAAACGAGCATCTGTCATTGACTACTTGTGGGTAGCCAACTTCATGACTGTGATCACGTACCTGTCCTCTCTCTCTCTCTCTCTCTTTTTATCTGCCATAGCACACAGTAATCGGTTGACTGGTCTGAAGATTTCATCGTCCAAATGAGCATTTGTCAGTGACTGGTCGTGAGAAGCCAACTTCACGACTGTGATTGCGCACATGTCCTTACCCCCCCCCCCCCCTCCCTCCCTCTCTCTCTCTCTCTCTCTTTTTTCATCTGGCATAGGGAAGTCGCTGCACATGATAACCGTTTGACTGGTCTAATGATTTCTTCCTCGTCCAAAGGAGCATCTGTCATTTACTGGTTGGGACGCCAACTTCATGACTGTGGTTGCGCACAAGCCCTTACCTCCTTTTGTCATTCTCTCTCTCTCTCTTTTCATCTGCCATAGCGAACTCTCTGCACAGGATAACCGGTTGCCACTCCCCCCCCAGCTAGCATTTGGTCAAACTCATCAACCATTGACCCCCCTGCTACCACTGAGCCAAACTCATCAACCATCACCTGGTCTCCAGGTGCTATATATTGACCCATGTACTCTCCACCTCCGTACATTTCAGGGTTGTATACTCGAGGATTGGGAACATACTGTGGCTGCGGCTGATAATTGCTCAAGTACTCGTACTCCTGTTCATCGATGCTCCACCCCTCCTGTGATCGAATGCGAGATCCTTTCACCAGAGGGACCTGGCTATAAACCTGTTTCACACAAACGCATCAAGGGCACGGACAGAAGTCGTTGATAAGCAGTAGACGACAAAACCAACACACCAACACATTGAGGGGCAAAGGACGTATACCATTTAATAAGTAGACGAAAAACATAACATACGTAAAAAAAAGAACTGTCTCAACAATACCACTGAGCTTCCCGAGTCAAGCTTTTCACACCTCCTTTCCCTATTCCTCTTCTCTCGCAGCCCCACTTCCTCCAGTGGGCACCACCCAGCCGATGTTCAAAGAACCTGGCTGGCATCTGCATCAGTTACAAGGCACTTGGAGCCCCAGGCGCTTGTCCATTCATTTATCAGTCGTACTAATTTCGTAGTTAAATTGGTCGGTGAGACGAGGAGATTATGAGAGGGATAATGATGAAGCCAAGAGGAGGGACATTACACTGGTGCAATCTTCTTCTACTTCTTCTCCTTCCCCTTCTCCTTCTCCTTCTACGATCGATTATCTACCCAAAATGAAATGAAGTCCCAAAGACCTATGATGGAAATAAATATGGTTAACCCGATTAACATAACAAAGTTAAACAAACGCATAATGGTACACAAAGCCACTTTGAAGTGTACTGCTTCTTCGTCTTCTTCTTCTTCTTCTTCTCATTCTGCTTCTTCTTCTGCATCTTATATTTGATATTCATTTTTCTTTGTTTTTTCACTTCTGGAGTTGCGATGGATGGCATATTCTCGAAGTAACTGTTGCCTTGCATCATGAATTGATGAGGATCAGTGCAGCATCCACAAAGGTTTGGACGACAAACTGCACAGCATGGGAGTCTAATAATGGGAGGACAAACTGCACAACAGCATGGGAGTCTAAAAATGGGCAATGTTGTATCCGTAGAAAAGGTGTTTGTGCATGTCAAATTTCACCTGAGATTTCATTTCAATAATAACTTGGGTTTGCTTACACAGGCGAATGTCACGCATGTTATGAGAGTCAATCAAGTAGAGAACGGCGTGTGCACAAACAGGGAAGGGAAGAGAACCGAGTCAACCGACTCTTGACAGCAGCACAGGAGGAGTGACAAACACAAATAATGTCTCGTCGGCGAATTCGATCTGACAATCTCTTCATATTGCATGGGTGAATGTCAAACATGTTCCGAGATCTCTTGGAACGACCAGCCTTGGCCCGACCCTCTGCTCGGATCGAGCGACTTGGGACCAGCCAGATTTTTCGGCGAAAAGTCTGACAGCGCTCGGACGCCGCCTTGGTCGTCCCCATGCGCAGTTTGAGTGATTTGAGACCACCAAGATTTCGGCAAACAGTCTAGAAAGCTGATGCGTACACATACAGGACATCGCAGCACTGACACTGGAGAACACAGCAGAGACCATGAAAAATGCAAAAATAGTAAAATAAAAAATAGTAAAAATACTAAAAATAATAAAAATACTGTTTTGTTTGGCGAATATGGCGAGAGCATCTCGTTTCATCTTTGCATACACGTACCTCATGAATCTCAGGCATCGTCAACATTCCCCCGTATTTGTCGATTGCGTAACATATGTACACCGCGTCCACCTGCGCAACCACGCAAACCCAGCCCGACATGACACAGTGATGCTCAAGTTAGTGGCAATTTGCAGCCTTCTGTGCCAATACATAGGGAGTCGACAGCAAGCACAGAGAATTGATGGTCATTGGGAGTCGGAAGGAAGCACAGAGAACTCATGGTCACACAGGAGCTCATCCAGACGCGGGGGCAGCATTGAGGCAATGTGGCTTAAACCGTGAGTACATGGCCCCGGCCTTGCAGAAAGTTTTTGTCACCACAAGCAAAACTCAGAGGCGCCGCGCGGCCAGGCCCACTGTTGTTTGTAAAAAATAAATTGGCGGCCTCCGAAGTACTGCAGGTTTCATGCTGACACCCGCGGTGTACTGGCGCTTCAAAACCACCACTCCAACGGCCCCCTCTACACTGCTGGTTTTGCTTGTCTGCAAATACCAGGCCAAAATCTGCAGTGCTCAGGCCCGGTAGAGGCTCGGCGGGGAAGGGTACCACAATTATTTTTCCTTACGGCGGCACTGTAGATTTCAGGCTCTTGACTTTTGGTTTCAGAGTGGTGGTTTGAGCCTGAAAGGTTCCTTCACGATGAATTTGCATCCTCCCTCAGCAAAAACATTGAAATATGTCATTCTGGCTTTGCCATGTGTCGTCGGGACAAGTCCCGCTACCGAACTGGGTAATGGTCCCACTACAATGCTTGTGTCTGCTCCGGGTTGTTTGTGAGGATTCCCGGCCTCATGGTTTTTCATGAATAAAGGTTTCCTCGTTTTTCCCGAAAAAAAAAGAAAAAAGAAGAAAAAAAAAAGAAATATGTCATTCATCAACTTTGGAGGGTTGCATAAAAAAAAAATTGATGAAGCTGTGAAGGTGTTTGGCACTGGGCAAAGCGGGAAAGAGGCGTAATCTTTCAGAAAACCATTAACATACATCTCTGTGAGAAAAAAAAAACACTGCTGTATTGTACTTTATTGAGAGACTCAGTAGACTACTATGATGATGAAATGAATTGTCTTGCCTCGAGTGAGCCATTCCTAGAAGATCCCCGTAAGTTAAGTTTCTTACGAGATCGATGTTTGCCTGTTTAGAAAATTGATTTCAAATTTCAAACCCCTGACACAAGGATTTTCAGTCCTTTGCTCTAACGAACTGAGCTACCGGCGCTATTGAACAAAACAAAAAATTGGATGATTGGACAGGACCTCAATTTCCGGGAAAAAAAAAACACTTGACATACGGCTAAACTTCTTTCTGTAAAAACGCGCTCCACAAAATGGAAGTTTCATTTCGTGTTTTAGCGGAAGTGACAAGAGTCACATGAAAGTTGATGATGAAACCCACAAAGGTGTTAAAAATTTTCGAAATGATTCTGTATTTCTGGGAATATTAAGCGTAACAAATTCACTTTAATCAAGTTTTTAATGGTTAAAAAATAATAAAAATGAGTAGAATTTGTACACTTATAAGAGAGGAACATGACACCCAAGGAACGGACTGGCCTGGAATCCAAGGGCGGGCTAGAAACTGAGAAAATATTAAAATAAGTTTAAATAACAGAAAAGCTATGTTACCGGAGCCGCCCACCTGACCAGGCGAACGGGCGACCGGGGCGACGTTGCACGAGGGGTGACCCGCCCCAAATACCCGGGCGACACCAAAAAGGGGGTCAATTTTTTTATTTTTATTTTTTGCCCAGCGCGGCAATTTTGTGCCCACTGAGACATGCCCAAATCCCGGCCTTATCTTTGAGTCTGTTGATATCTCACCAAGGGTGTCTATGGGGTATAAACGGGGTTCGAAAGGGCTCGAAGGGGGCATAAAAGGGTATGAATCGTATGATGTAATTTAGTTTTTTTTTTTTTTTTTTTTTCTATTTCGGATTCCATAGACCCTCAGGCAAAAGAT